TATTTAATACACCATTAAATGCACATATTAAATAAACCTTAATTAAAAATGTAAAATTCTTTTCAAGATTATTAAGCAAACAGTTAGGAAGATGTATCAATCCAATGATACGAGCTTAATTAATATATAATTAAACAATAACTGACTACACAAAATTAACATGCTAGTTACCAAATTAGTATATATTCTTTATTACTCATCATGAAATACATTACAGCATAATTTTTTTTTTTACAGAAACATACTCTTTTTGGCCTCGAGGTATGTATATATCGGCTGCTGACATAACATTAACAACCAGCGCAGCGCTGGAACAGCTCTTTATTTATTTTATATATTACCTCCAGGCCTCAACATATAATTAATTAATCAGCACATAATTCACCATGTTACTTTTTTTTTAGTAACAGTAAAAGTTGACTCTCTATTAATCTTTTAAGGGGATGCAGTCATTAATTACCCGCACCTTAACATTACTCCAAGCGGTTTGCTGGCAATGGTAGGACGGAGGGCCCTGGTCGAGCGAGTGGAATTGGGACTGAACGTGGGTCTGGGGGCAATGGAGTTGGGACTGGAATTGAGACTGGGATGATAGGTGGCATTCTTGGTGGTGGATGTCGTGGAGGGAAAGATGACTCTCTGTGGTCGTCGCGGCTTGGCCCAATGCCCATTTTTTGTTTTTGTTTTTGCTTTTTTTTTTTTTGGATTGGAATGATTTTGTTGAGAAACTTTTCTAATACGTATACGTGGGGGACGAAATACTTGTTCTTGACAAATAACCAGACTTGCCTTCCTTATATAGGAAAGGAAAGTGCACTAAACCAAAGACAACTTGGAATATTTGAAAAATCCTCAACTGTCCTGTTATTTAAAAAATAAAATAAATCGAAGAATCCTTAATAACCTTGAAGATTATTCCACTACAAATGGACCTGGTAGGATCGGAGACAAATGGAGATAAAGCTTACATATTCCTACAAATTAAAGAGTGCATGATATGTTTGTCCATTGCTTCCTTAGTCTTAGAATAATATTAATAGATATTTTTTAATTTAAAATTTATTATAAAATATATTTGTTTATATTTTTAAAAAATATATTTTTATTTTATTTTTATAATTATTTCTTAATTTTAATTATTTATCTTCTAATAA